GAAGGACTATTTAAGAGTACATGTATTAACGTTAGGGACCATTAATGATACAAAAAAACATTAGGGATGCAATGTGATAATTTCGCAAACGTCAGGGACATTTTATGATAATAAGCCAATTGTAAAATATGTGAATTACAACGTCATCTCACGGGGCTCCCCTCAAGTACGGTCTTGATTAGCGTCGAGATGAAACCCTAAGATCAGTGAATCATCATCATAATCATGTTTATTAGCCAGCAATTGCACAACTCCTCTGCAATGATTTAGCAAAACATGACCCTTGGAATATTTCCCGTAAATATATGTTTTGGTATTAAAAAAAAAGACAAAAAAGAAAAGCCAGGTTTTTGATTAGGCTCTTTCGGGCTTTGGCCCTTACCAGTTTATTTTCTTGTTTACCTCTTTGTTGGGCTTCGTAATCTTAGTTTGAGCCCTTTGTGTTGTTCTTTGTTTTGGGCTCTGGCCTTTTACTTTCTCTGGTTGATAAAAATTCCTTTATTCCAAAAAAAAAGAAAAAAGAAAAAGAAATCTGTGAATTATGGTTCAGCTTGGCAACTTTTCACGGAGGGACCAAGACCAACTGTGATTTGAGTGATTTCTATCATTCAGCCAGGGGGGCATATCTTCATGGTCAACTGCTAACAGCAATGGCATTATTACGTGCATAAACTATAAATTATAAAACTTCATTCCTTACCATGTAAATAAGAGCTGAGAGTTATATGTGCATAAGTTTTTCTTTTTGTATTTTTGATGAATTATTTTTGAACATGTGTCAAACTGTGATTCGTAGAAAAGAAGAGTATCTCTCTACGAGTAAAGAGGCAAGTAAATAATGTCCAAATCATAATATGGGTCAGAAATAGGAGAAAACAAAGACCTTTTCTCGTGCTTCATGTTGGTATGTGAGTCTGTGACTGTGTGACCAACTAAACCTATAGCCTAGCTTTAGTAGAGACAGAAGGCAACCATAGTTCTATGGAAGCAAGTGCCTTAACGAGGTCTCTAAATTAATGTGAATTAATTATATGCTTCAAATCATAAGAAAATGACAAATAATTTTGAGGCTTTGATAGACCCCTAGCTGCATCCTTGTCAACTATCAAAATGTGTTTTTTAGCACCGACGGTGCATTTTTTTAACCATCAGCTTGCATAATTTAAAGGGTAAACTTCGAATACATACAATCATTATCGATACCGATACTTTTGCATTACATATATTATCTCTGTGTATATATTTTTATATTTTGGGATTTAAAACCGTCTAAATCATAATACTCGAAAGAAACTGTACAGTTTTGAGTACATTGTATAGATACTTCGCATAAATCAACGCTCGATAGGCAAGAATTCTGTTTCTTTCATTTGTTTACGGAACTAAAACGGTGCTCTTTACATCTTGAGAGAGAGAGAGAGAGAGAGAGAGAGAGAGAGTCTTGACAATGTCTTGCAGCTAAAGCTGTCATTAGCATTTCGTCATCGTTTTAAGATTTCAAGTTATGTATTTTTTTATATAAAAAAATTGACTTAAAAAGAAAAAGGTATGAGGAAGAATATGGTTTTTATACGTTTAATAATTCAAAGCAATACCTGCACGCACATGTGAAGTGGAGTGAACACACGAATTTTGGAAAACTTTTAAATATTTTTCTAGAGATTTAGGAGTGGATGAGAAGTAGCAGAATTATATGAACACTGCAAAAGAGAATTAAATGAAGCAAACCCCATGTTATGTCACCAACCAAAATCCATAAAATAAATAAAATAATTGAATTTGATGCTTTACTTTGTGTCACTAACTACTGCTGATGCTGGCCTTGGCATTTACGTGCCCCTCACAACCTCTCCTCCTCTCTCTCTCTCTCTCTCTCTCTCTCTCTCTCTCCCCTATAATTCCTTACGCCAAGAATCTCTCCCTCTAAGTCTAAACCCTATTCCTCTCTACCCTCTACTTCACACTACTCTACCCTCAATTTAGTCACCGTCCAAACAATATTTCTTTGTTTTTATAATATGTCTTTGCTTTCTCATTCACGTCAAATAACAAAATGACACGTAAATCGTAACCGCTTACAATTGTTATTAATCAATAATCAGATCATATTACGTATCCCTTTTCCATTCCATTTCTAAGAATTATATAACATTTGTTTTTCTACAATAATGTTGGCTTGGTGGTAATTTGTACTCTTGCTGTTATTGTTATTACGCAATCATTGGAGATAGAGTATGCATGCAGCATGAGGCTGTTAGAATTCACTTTTATAATCATGTACAAGTCATCAATTAGCTCATCTTACATAACTTCAACTTTTAGAATCTAACCATTTGCTCACCTCATTCCATTGCCATTATAAGTATTTTTTACTGTTTTGGCTACTTTTCGTGGATTGTGAAATGAGTGAAAACGAGCTGTTAGCGCCATATTAACTTATTATAACTGGTTAACGCTACTATACATATATATCATTGATTGCCTTCGAAAATCGTAAGCATTCATGTGATTTTGCAGCTAAGTTCAACTAAGAAAAGTGTTATCATTGTGTGCTTTTTACCAGCCCTTAAATTTTTATTTGATTACTTCTTCTTTTTATCTAATGGAACAGCCCTAATGATTGGAGGGAGCATAAAATGTCAATCCAAATAATTGGATCATAACATAGACATAGGGCGGCGTGATTTTGGGGTTATTGTCCATCCAAGAAGTGATTAGCGTATAATATGAAGTGGGTGGGTCAACTGCACATGAACTGCTTAATTAGTTTGATCAAGTCACTAATGAATTTGCAGTCTATTAATAGTTAAAAAGATTATGAAAATCCCCTCCTCACAAGTCACAAAAGATCTCCTCCACCAACAATTTTCAAACATTTGCGTGATGGCTTATTAAATTAGTTAATTAGTTAAGAGCTACTAATGCTAGATTGCTGATCGTGATTACCGTCACGTATCTCTCACCTCTAATGTAGTAAGCAATGTGATTGATAAATATCGTACAGACAGTGTTGTCGATTAATTAAACGGCACTGTTAAAGAACCCAAAAATAGTTCAAACTAATGATAATTAACAGACATGTAGAGAGCAAGAAAAGTAAATTAGTAAGAAATAGGAAAAAAAAAACAAAAAAAGGTGGGCGGAGATGCACAAATTCTGCGGCACTCACAGGCTTGCAAACCAATTTTCTTCCTCTACAGAAAGGAATCGTTGGAAAAAAGTAATGGGTTTGCTTCAAAGCCAACCGAATCTCACTCGTTGCCTCGCTTCCTCACACTTACATTGCATCTCTCTCTCCCCCAATACACACCTGTAATGTGTTTGTATAAATGCCCCACAGAAAGATATTCAAACATATATTTTCCTATTCTGTATTTCTATATATAACTTCCAAGGTTGGAAATCGAAAACGCCAAGCTTGGCAATTAGGCAAAAACTCACGGTTACTATACTATTCATCACCTGGGCGGCTTTTTTTTTAAGACTCAGCACTACTTAAAACTCGCTCTTCACCACTATAATTACAAACCCACTTTCTTAACGTTGCTTCTTCAATTCAATCCACAGCCCATCTCTCTCTCTCTCTCTCTCTCTGCTTTTTCTCTCTGGTCTCAAGCGTTTTGTTGGTACTGCTCTGGTTCCTGGTGTGGTGGGTTGATCAAGATGATGATGATGATGATGATGGATGGTGCAGATCATCAAGATCATGAAGAAGCTGTGATGGGTTATAAGGATCAGAGCCAGATGATGATCATCAAAGGCAAACGCACCAAACGGCAGAGGCTGGCTTCTCCGCTTGCTCATGCCTCAACAGCAACAGCTTCAAGCTCATCTAGTGCAGGTCATGATCATCAACATCAAGTCCTTGTTGGTCCCACAGAAACCTCACCAGCCACCTCAGCTGATCAATTCACAGAGATCAGTACAGAAGAAGAGGAGGACATGGCAAACTGTTTGATTCTTTTGGCTCAAGGAAATTCAACCCCCAAAACCCAACACCCCATATTGGTTCACAACAATAAGGCTTCAGCTTCAGCTGGGTTATATGTTTACCAGTGCAAGACATGTGACCGGTGCTTCTCGTCGTTCCAAGCTCTCGGTGGACACAGAGCCAGTCACAAGAAACCCAACAAGGCTAACATGAACATCACACAGGACAACAAGAAAGCCTTGTCGTTCGTGGAAGAAGCGGAGGAGTATGATCGGTTTAACAACACAAGCACCACCCTTTCGTTACAAATATCGAATCGGGATTACAGGGCATCGAGCAGTGCTGCTACTCCTGTTATTAACAGCAAAGCCAATAAGGTTCATGAGTGTTCAGTTTGTGGTGCTGAGTTCACATCTGGTCAAGCTCTAGGGGGTCATATGAGGAGGCACAGAACATTTATGAACACAACAACAACAGCAACAGCAGCAGCTATGAGTTCTCCGCAGCCACAATCAGGATCAAAGAGACCAAGAAGTATTTTGCAGTTGGATCTTAATCTTCCTGCACCAGAAGAAGAATGCCTCGAAACCAAGTTTCCCTTTGGCCCCAAGAAGGAACAAGTCATTGTCTTCTCTACCTCTCCTTTGGTGGGTTGCCATTACTAAAAACACAGCTAGCTATAGCAGCAACCCCCAACATCAATGTGACCCAATTAATTGTTAACACCATTGTTACTCATTCAATCTCCATTGTTGATTCTTTTATACATGTCCAAACTTTAATCATATAGTTGAAATTGATGAATTCTTTGGTTACTGAACTGACTTGTGTATTAATTTTTTGTTGTCAAATTGTGTTTTTGGGGCCATGTATGCTACTGTCTATATATGGTGGCATATTTTTCGGCCAGTCCTTTTAGAGTCTGAAAAGAGCATATATCTGAGGAGAGTTAGAATTGAGAATGAGAGCAAAGGAGGGTAGGGGATTGTCAATTGAAATGACTTTGCCAGAACCACCAAAACCTCAACCGAAAGTAGGGGATTAGGTTCCCTTGTTTGGTTTGCAAGAAAGCTAAAAAGCTTTGTCTCTGTCTATCTTTTTCATACATAACTGACCAAAAAAGTTTAAACGGATGGCAAGCAAAGCTAGTAGCTCCAAGCTAACTGCCCTTCTTTTATGGATCCACTTTTGCATTTATATGGGGAAAGTGATACACCACACGCTCTCTTATTCCGTTATGTTATTTTGTCCAATCAAAACTATATCTACAATGATGCAAAGTATACGAACGTGTACTGACTCATGCTTTCTTAGGATGTAACGGCAAATATTAATTATACTGTTTAAAATCATAATGATAAAACTATTTGTATCATATCTATACATCACATTTTCAAGACAAAAATAAAATTTCTCATCGGTTATCTATCGAGCTACTTAGACGTAACCATTCATAAACATGTGCTCGTTTGTTGTAAAATTAGTCACAAAGGTTGATCTTAATTTTTCTTGTATTGTTGGCTATGTGCTCATGGTGGGTGCTGAAAAGGTTGCGTGAGATGCATATCCATCGATCCATTTGCATTATATATATATATATATATAGAGAGAGAGAGAGAGAGATGGGGGCCATTGGCAATTTGGCAACTGTGCATGGTTTATACGCTGCCTTAAACAAGGAACCCCAAAACTCTAAAATTTCAAGCCTCACAAGAGGCTCATATTTAAAGTTGTCACTAGCTTTTGTTTGAGCAAGGGCTTTAAATTATTGGTGCTACTACCCACCCCTAATCCGTACACTATGGAAAAGATGAGTGCACCAAATCTTCATCATCAGCGGGAAATATGGGATAAATTGTTTCTGTTTGAGATTTGTATAATTGCATATGATCTTGGACTATCTTGTAATTTGGAATTATGTGGTTTTAAATCTGTAAATATGGGCCGGACCCAATAAGTTAAGCCCAGCCTAACCGATAAGCTTAGACCGCGGCTTTGCAAAGTTTAAAATAAAAAATCAGTTGCAAGTGACGTGTAAATAAGTGGTTAAAAATATTTATCATTAAGGTTCTAAGTTCGATTTCTCTATAATATAGCTTATGTTAAAATAAAAATTCATAAACTGGTTTGTTCGATTTTAATTTGACTTTTTTGGTCAACAAATTTTTTCTTTCTTTAGTATGTTTCGATTTGGTTCACCAATTCACCATTTCAGATGTCCACTCCTAATTTCCAACAGTTAAAATGTTATACATTCTATCAGGAAATGAAAAAAAATTTGAAAATACTAACATGTGATTAGTCACATTATTTGAAGACTAAAAATGTGATCAGTATCCTAATTGCAACACTCCAGTGTGGTTCCCAAAGGCCCAAAACTGTAATTTATCAAAACACATACAAATCCCGGAGTACCCTTTTGGCCTCTTAACCCCTAGTTTCGAAAATTAGAACACACGAATCTGCGGACCAAAAACCCACAAACGTTCGGAAGAGAATGGCGGTTCCAGGGAGGCGGAATGGTATGGAGGAAGATGACAACGAAGACGAAAACGCTCTGTTCGAAGAAGAGGGCTTGGAGGACCTCGACTCTCACACCCCTCCTCACCTTCGCGCCATCGCTGACGCTTCTCAGCAAGGCGACCTTGACGCCCTTCGCCTCGCTCTTGGTATCCCTTCGCCTCTCAATTTTCATACCCACTTTTCTTAACTAGATTTTTGAGCTTGATTTCTCAATGGGTTTATTGCGATTATGATTTGGTATGGCCATTTAGCTAAATTTTGTTAGACTTATGGACCCAAAAGACTTAAACAAAGAATTCTGCTGAAATCTTGTCACAGATTGGTTAATTATGTTTGTATTTCGGTGGTTAGTGTAAGAAAGCTGGAAACTTTCATTAATATGTGTTTTCATACTTGCCCCTCTTAGTTATTTGATTGTACTGTATTCAAATGCTTTGGGAAATAATATATTCATGGAACCTCATGAAGTTTTTTTAAAATTTTAAAATTTTTTTCCCATGGAGTGTTTAATTGCCCTATTTTGGTTTTTGGGTCATATAATCTTTATTTCTGCTTATGCTTGCCCTTCATTCTGATTGTATATAGATAACTTAGAAGGAGGCAGCATTGATGAACCAGTGGAAGATGGGGACACAGCTCTCCATCTTGCATGTCTCTATGGCAATCTTTCTTGTGTCCAGGTTTTTTTTTATCAATTCTTTGTTCTTTATTTATTTGTTGCAAGTAGTACTTTGAGCTGATAATAATTTTTTCAATTTAGTTACTGTTGGAGAGAGGTGCAAACTTGGAGGCTACGGATGAAGATGGAGCAATTCCTTTGCATGATGCTTGTGCTGGGGGTAAGCACTTGTTGCCATTGTGATGTCTGAATTCATATTTCAATTCAATTTGTTTGACTTTTCCTCAAATGACTATTGCAGGCTACACTGAAATAGTTCAACTTTTGATTAACGGTGCTAATGACGCTGCCCGTGTAAAGAGAATGCTAGAAACAGTTGATGCCGAAGGCGATACTGTGAGTATTAACCAAATCATATCCTTTTGTTTTACATGGGAGTTCCAATTGTGAATTTTTCTTTAGTTTTCCCGATGAACTGCATATTAAAAGCAGTTGTACTCTAGCCTTATTTCTTGTCGGTTTTGTGAACGTTATACTCATATATTGGCATTTCTTCCACAGCCTCTTCATCATGCAGCGAGGGGTGAGCATGCTGATATTATAAGATTGTTGCTGGCTTCTGGAGCTTCTCCTACAAAGGCGAACCTATATGGAAAGGTTTGTATTTGAAGGAACTTTATAAATTATATGTTTCCTGTTGTTGTGGTGTTTCTCATTGAAAATTTTGGCAGATCCCAAGTGATTTACCAGAACTAGCTACAGAAGCTAGGAGAATTTTGGAAGCTGCAGCTGGTGCGACGGCATGCCAGTAGGCTTTACTTGCTGAGGATTTCGTGAAGGATGTGACTCTGCTGCTTTTATCTTATTAGTATTACCAGTCAGCAACACCAAAATGACAAAAATGTTGACGATTTTGTCCCCCTTTGTTTATCATTAATACTTTCAGAATTTAGGATATTAAATATAGAAAAATAGCACATACTTGTGCAAGGTTTTTGGCTATGCAGTTTCTCAAACTCCATGTATGCAGGTTTTCTGTTTTTGCTTTTCTTTGCACCTTTCCAATGTTCTTTGGGTGGGGCGATGCAATATCCTGTAAACCATGGTTTTCGCTTTTTGACTAACCTGAGGATTGTTGGGTTATTAGTATCACAGTTGAAACAAAATTCTATTTATTTTTCATATGGTTACAGTTAATAGTTACTGCTCACATGGACTTGCGTGAGACTGAGAGCCAGCAGAAAAGTTCTGGATCTATGATATAAAAACCATGTGTTTTGCTGGAAATTGAAATTGGAGTTGGCTAGAAAGCTGTATAATTATATGGTAATTCAAGCAATGAAATTGGGAGTAGGTCACACTTGCTCATTTTGTATCATTTAGACTCTTTGGTATTTGAACTCAGGCGTGAATGAGGATTTTAACTCGGGTTCGAGGCTAGTGTATAAGTAAATACATTACTTTTAACCACTAGAGCTACAAGTTACCTACAAAGACGATGATAAACGGATAGTCTTTGAGCTTCTCAAAGACGATGATAAATGGATACAATCTTTGAGCCTCTCATTTTCTACAAATTCAAGCATTCCTTCAAGTATAAAAAAGAAAAGATAACACGAACATAGCATTGCTTATACCATCCCTGATAAAGGCCTGAGAAAAGAAAGAAGAGACAAACCACTGAACCGCCGCTAATAAACCAACAAAATATATAGGATAAGGAAAGAACCCCTTTGATGTTGGTCTATCTTCTATCTTCCTCACATTCCCGCAAAATGTGAAAGCCTCCACTAATGGATATACCTGTCAGTCTAAGCCTTCAAAATCTACCAATCAAAGACCCAAAACCAAAAGACTGGAACTTGATCATAAAGCACCACGCCAAGCTCAAAAATGACCATGCAATCCTCTCAACATATACCCAGATGGAATCTCTCGGAGTGGCACCCGATAACACCTCTCTGCCTCTGGTTCTCAAGGCATGTGCAATGCTGAGTGCCATCGAGAGAGGCAAGGGAATACATTCGAGTATTCGGAACACGGGTTTAATGAAAGATGCTAGAATTGGGACTGCCCTTGTTGATTTTTACTGCAAAGGCGGGCTTATCAATGATGCGGTTGAGGTGTTTGATGAAATGAGGGAGAGAGATTTGGTTATGTGGAATGCTTTGATACATGGGTATGTGAGGTGTTGTTGTTACAAGGAGGCTATATCGTTGTTCATGCAGATGCAGAATGGGGGATTGAAACCCAATTCGCGTACTGTGGTTGCATTGCTTTCAGCATGTAGGGAGGTTTCAGAGTTGAGGTCCGGACAGGAGATACATGGCTATGCCTTGAGGAATGGTCTCTTTGATTTGGATGCTCATGTGGGTACTGCTTTGATAGGGTTTTATCTGAGATTCGACATTAAAACAACACGCCTTACGTTTGATTCGATGGTTGTGAGGAACATTGTCAGTTGGAATGCAATAATTACAGGGTATGTTGAAATTGGAGAGTACTTGATGACCTTGAAGCTTTTTGTACAGATGCTTGTGGACGGGCTTAAGTTTGACTATGTTTCAATGTTGGTTGTTATTCAGGCCTGTGCAGGAATTGGATCTATTGAATTAGGTAGGCAAATTCATCAAATGGCTATTAAGAATAGTTACAGTGATGATCTGTTCATAGTAAATGCATTGCTGAATATGTACAGTGAGTGTGGATTTTTCGAGCTATCACGTAAATTATTTGAATTTGTCTCCAGCCGTGATGTTGCTTTGTGGAATTCCATGATATCTGCATGCATTGAATATGGCTTTTATGAGGAAGCTTTGAGCTTGTTTTCTAAAATGCGAATAGAAGGAATCAGAGAAGACGAGAGAACTATTGTTATAATGTTGTCGGTATGTGAAGATTTAGCTGAGGGCTTGAGGAACGGTAAAAGTTTGCATGCTCTTGCAAGAAAGAGTGGGATGAAAATGGATGCTTCTCTAGGAAATACATTGTTGAGTATGTATGCTGAATTTAACTGTGTTGAATCTGTTCAGAAGGCTTTTTCTGAGATGAAATACTCAGATGTTATCTCATGGAACACTCTGATCAGGGCACTAGCCTGCAATGGATTGCAAGATGAAGCATGGAAAATATTTGGGGTGATGCGAGAATCTGACACCAAACCTAACTCACATACAATAATATCTATCCTTGCTACTTGTGAAGATGAAACTTGTATAAATATAGTGCGAGCAATTCATGGTTTTGTGATAAAACATGGTATTGAAGCTGACCTATCCTTGAACACTGCACTAACAGATATGTACATGAATTGTGGTGATGAAGCAGCAGCTAGGACTGTATTTGAGGGCTGTCCCAGTAGGGATGTGATCTCATGGAATGCTTTAATTGCAAGTTACATAAAAAACAATGAAATCGGCAAAGCTCAGTTACTCTTTAACCGTATGGTTTCAGAAGTGAATCCCAACTCTGTGACAATCATAAATATTCTATCATCATGTACCCAGCTTGCCTCTCTGCCTCTAGGTCAATGCTTGCATGCTTATGCAAATCGGAGGCAATTCTCATTTGGTTTTGATTTGTCTCTTGCAAATGCTTTTATATCAATGTATGCAAGAAGTGGTAGCATGCAAAATGCTGAAAAGATGTTTAAAATTTTGCCAAAGAGGAATGTTGTCTCATGGAATGCCTTGATTACTGGGTACAGCATGCACGGTCACGGACATGATGCTATTCATGCGTTCTTACAAATGTTAGAAGATGGTTTTCGACCAAATGGGGCAACTTTTGTAGCTGTTCTATCTGCTTGCAGACATTCTGGTTTGATAGAGATGGGATTGCAGCTTTTCCACACTATGGTACGTGATTTCAAGATATCACCTGAGCTTGTTCACTATGGTTGTGTGGTTGACCTTCTTGGTCGTGCAGGCCGCTTAGAAGAAGGTAGAGAGTTTATTGAATCAATGCCTGTTGAAGCAGATGCATCAGTGTGGAGAGCCTTGCTCAATGCTTGTCGACTTCATTCTGCCACGAAGTTAGCTAGAACCATATTTGAAAAACTTGTTGAATTAGAACCGATGAATGCAGGGAATTATGTTCTGATATCTAATATATATGCTGCAGCAGGTCTATGGATGGAGGTCAGGCAGATAAGAACACGGCTCAGGGAAAAGGGTTTAGAAAAGCCTCCCGGAGTAAGTTGGATTGTTGTTAAAAGCCAGGTCCATTGTTTCGTTGCTGGAGACACATCACACCTTCAATCAGACATAATTTATGCAAGTTTAAATTCTCTGTCAACCTTGATTAAAGAAAGTGGATACATTCCTGATCTTCGATTGGTTTTGCGTGACGAAGAGGGTTAGGTTGAAAGTGGGGTCATAATCTTCAGTTTTCCATACTGCTGAGGGTTGGGAACCTTTTAATGATCACTAAGAACTCAAAAAGGCTTTGTGATGGGTTCCATTGATTAATGTGTCTGTCATTGTTGGAAGGGAAGAACATGAAAAATTTTGCATCTTTTTTAGGCTTGGTAAACAATTCCCTCGTGTATATATGTATTGAGAGTCTGCGACAAAAATGAAAGAAAGCTTCCAGATATGGTTTCTCAAAAGAATGAAAGCATCAATTTCAAAAGATGGGGAAGGAGCAGTCAATTTAAGAAGTTTGGTTATTCCAAGCCGGGATGGATTTATAGTTACCTCAGGCAGAGCATAATTGTAATTTGTTTTTTCAAGAGAAATTATTTGAGTCAAAGGCAAATTCTTATAGCAATGATGCCACAAATCTACCAAAAAGGCCAGTCAATCTCACTCCGCAAAAATAATTACTAAACCAAAATTGTCATTACGATTCTGTATTCAGCTAAAATTATATCAACAAGTTTGTAGGGATGAAGTTGCATAAGAACCTCAGTTCTGAAATTATCAAAACTTTCTCGAAAGTACCTTTAATGCTAGCTCTTCGAAGCATTGCTCCACATTTTCTCTAGTTTTAGTGCTACATTCAAGAAACAAACATCCAAGATCTTCTGCAAGAGCAAGCCCCTCTTCTCTACTTACAGCCCTTTCAGATTCCTGAAATCACATAGAATTTCTTTCTTAACTTATTCAATAGATTGCGATAATAAAAAAAGGCCTTCTCTTTTCCACAAGTAAATTTAGGCTTTAATATAAACGACTAAAAAGAAAATTACACAAATGAAACCTAAAAGAAGTTTGTGACTTGGCAGAACATGCTTCAAGGGACCGCAAAGGTGTTTGGCCTTATTTCTTGTCGGTTTTGTGAACGTTATACTCATATATTGGCATTTCTTCCACAGCCTCTTCATCATGCAGCGAGGGGTGAGCATGCTGATATTATAAGATTGTTGCTGGCTTCTGGAGCTTCTCCTACAAAGGCGAACCTATATGGAAAGGTTTGTATTTGAAGGAACTTTATAAATTATACGTTTCCTGTTGTTGTGGTGTTTCTCATTGAAAATTTTGGCAGATCCCAAGTGATTTACCAGAACTAGCTACAGAAGCTAGGAGAATTTTGGAAGCTGCAGCTGGTGCGACGGCATGCCAGTAGGCTTTACTTGCTGAGGATTTCGTGAAGGATGTGACTCTGCTGCTTTTATCTTATTAGTATTACCAGTCAGCAACACCAAAATGTTGACGATTTTGTGCCCCTTTGTTTATCATTAATACTTTCTCAATTTAGGATATTAAATATAGAAAAATAGCACATACATGTCCAAGGTTTTAGGCTATGCAGTTACTCGAACTCCATGTATGTAGGTTTTCTGTTTTTGCTTTTCTTTGCACCTTTCCAATGTTCTGGGCTGATCTGGGGGGATCTGGGAGGTCTGGGGCGATCTAGGCGGCCCCTAGGCGGTCTAGGCGGATCTAGGCGGCGCCTAGGCGGCCTGGGCGGGTCTAGGCGGGTCTGGGCGCCAGGGCAGGTCTGTTTGCTTTACCAAACCTGCCGTCAATGGCCTCGGTGATATTCTTAGCATTCAAACCAGTGTTTTCAAAGGCATGCCTTCGCGCGCGTCGGAGCGAGGCGGCAGGAAATCGCCCGAGGCGGTCGGCTATTTCGCGGGTTGCACGTTTAGCGCTGGGAAGGCGTGAGGAGGAGTTGCAAGGCGGAGCGACGTGGACCATGGCGTGACATATCTAGACACTCTGAACCGGAAGAAATTTTGAGACTCTGCAAATTGGCTGCGGCTCTGCGAGGAAGATGACTCGCGTGTTATTTTTTTTTAGGTTTATTGTAATGAAACGACGTCGTTTCGATTGAAGTGTTTTTAAAAAACTTAAAGTGAAACGACGTCGTTTCACTTGGAGTGTTTTGAAGAAAAAAAATAACGCAAGTTTCTGTTTTTTTTTTCCTTCCCTTTATTGTAATAAACTTAAGGCAAGAAGAATTAATATCTTCTTGCCTTTTCTATCTCCAGCCGATTGTAGCTTTGCTACTTACTCTTTTTTTTTTTTGGTCTAAATTAATATATTATTGCACGGAATTATATATATATATATATATATAGTACAACCCTAATTTCTACCCTTATAAATAATCTCCATCAATTTCAAGAATCCTCTTCATCTTTCGACTACAAGTAAGTATTTTATTTTTCTCTCTAATTCTTCGCAACTGTAATTTGAAGTTTTGTATAATTTTTTTTCATTTTTTTAAAAAGTGATATTTGTAGAAATGTCACCCAAACTTTTACCTTAGTTTCAATTTGTCACCTTAAAAAAAAAAATTGAAGAGAAATGTCACCTGACTATAACCTCATCCAATTTTCCATCTATTTTAAAGGGTATTTTAGTCTTTTCATTTTCAAGGGTATGTTTAAAATGGAAAATTCATTATAAAAAAATTATATATCTTTTAAATAATTAAAAATGAAAAGAAAAATTAGGAAAAAAAAACTTCTCTCTTCCTCCTCGCGTCCCATTACTTGCTTTTTTATTAGCAACTCATTTAGCAAAGGTGTCTTAAAACTGTCCTTGAGAGACCATAAGAAGGGTACCCCGTTGGCTTCCAAAGCTTGAGCCATTGCCATAAGCTCCTTCTCCAGTGGCCTTGCGACCCCAAATATATATATATATATATATATATCTCTCGTCCTCTCACAAGAACAAACCCTGCCCCACCATCCCTAGTTGCTCATCTAGATTTTCCAACCCATCTCCACCCCAATCTCTGCCCATTCGGGGGTCACCCCACTTCTTTGTCTCCATCTCTCCCCTTAGGCCATGCCCATCCTTCCCACATCTCCGTTGCTAGGTCCTTCCTTCCCCGGACAACCCCCATCCTTTTTTTCAAGTTTTTTTCCTTTCTCTAATGTTTTATTCTATTTTTATTTTTGTCTTATCAGTTTTTAAAATTTGCCAATATGTTAAAAATGGAAAACAGGGCTTTTTACTTTTAACCCCCATCCATTTTTACATTTAAGCTTTTTTTAATAATAATTTTTTCCATTTTTAAAATACCTTTGAAAATGAAAAGACTAAAATACCCTTTAAAAAAAAGATGGAAAATTGGATGATGTTAAAGTCAAGTGACAAATCATGGATTTTGAAAAATTCAGGTGACATTTCTTTTAAAAAAAAATTTAAGGTGACAAATTGAAACTAATGTATAAGTTCATGTGACATTTCTACAAATATCCCTTTTTCAAAATATATTAGTTATCTTATTCGTTTATGTCATATAGTAGAAATTTGACGTACATGCATCATACTTGTATCTTAGAATTATTAATGGTGTTGTTTTATACCTATGAATAGAAAAGATCCTGCGTGGAAGTATGCAAAAGAAATAGAGGGGGAAAAATACTTGAGATGCGCATTTTGTGATCAAAGATGCAACGGAGGAATTTCTAGACTTAAGCATCATTTGGGTCAAACTCATCAATGCATGAGCTGAAGACTTGGATCCTTAAGGAAGACGTTGGCGATATTAATACGATGATGGAAGAACATAAGAAAGCTTGGGCAGAGTATGGATGTACTATTATGTCTGATGGTTGGACTGATGGTAAAAATAGAGCTCTAATAAACTTTCTTGTGAATAGCCCTGCAGGTACTTGGTTTTTGAAATCTATTGATGCATCTGATTCCATAAAAAATGGAACGTTACTATTCAAATATTTAGATGATGTTGTCAAAGAAGTTGGGGAGGAGCATGTGATTCAAGTAATAACAGATAATGCTTCCAATTATAAGAATGCTGGAGTGAAACTTATGGAGAAGAGGAAGAAGTTATGGTGGACTCCATGTGCTGCCCACTGCATTGATTTGATGTTAGAAGATATTAGCAAAATGAAACTTTTTGAAGATACAATTAGACCAGCCAAGCAAGTAGTGAAGTTTATTTATGGGCATACATGGGTTCTTGCTTTGATGAGATCTTTCACGAAAAGTAAAGAGATAATTCGCCCTGCAATCAGACGGTTTGCCACTTCTTATCTTACTCTTCAAACCATATATAAGCAAAAGCAACCTCTTCAGGCTATGTTTTCTTCTAGAGAATGGCACAATGGACCATTTGTCCAACATAATGAAGGTATTAGGGCTCGCTCAACTATACTATATGATGTTAATTTTTGGTCCCATGTTGCTTTTTGCATCAAAAGTGTTATTCTATTAGTATCTGTTTTGAGAGAAGTTGATTCAGAGGAGAGACCCGCTATGGGATTTATTTATGAGTTAATGGATGTTGCAAAAGAGAAGATTGCTTTTAATTGTGGAAAAGTTGAAAGAAAGTATAAACCAATTTGGAGAAGAATAGACGAAAGATGGGGCCTACAACTTCATCAACCTTTACATGTTGCTGGTTATTATTTGAACCCTCAATTGCGTTATGAAGAAACCTTTTCTAATGCTGATGAAGTGAGGAAGGGATTGGAAGATTGCATGACTAGGATGTTGTCTTTTGAGGATCGTATGGCTGCTGATATCCAGTTGGACTTGTATGATGAGGCAAAAGGAGAGTTTGGAGGTCGTCTTGCTGTGAATTCAAGGAAACTACAAACTCCAGGTTATAATTTTTACTTTTTCATTTTCATTCAAGTATAATGAACACTTGAAATAAATGTTAAACTTAATTAGATGGATTTGTTTTATTTTTTTTAACAAATTGGTGGAAGCGTTTTGGAAGGGACCCACCTGAGTTGACGAAGTTTGCTATTCAGGTCCTTAGCCTTACTTATAGTGCATCTGGGTGTGAGAGGAATTGGAGCACATTTGAGCAGGTAAAGTTCATCGGTTCAAATTTTGATGCTTCTAAATCTAATTTTGTATTTTTATATTCATTTTAGATTAATACAAAGAAAAGAAATAGACTTGACATCAAAAGCTCAAGGGTTAATTACAGTTTAGTACCCTGTGGTTACACCCTTAAGACATGTTAGTCCATATCTTTTCAATTTTAACAATCACATATCCCAGTCTTTTAAATTTGTTATAATGTGGTTACGCCATTATGGTTTCTGTCAAATCTCTCTGTTAGTTGCCTACGTGGCACTGTGGGTCCCACATTTTTCAAATTTTTTAATTTTAATTTTATTAAAATACGAATAAATATTAAAAACCAAAAGAATTTAAAAAATTTCTCAAAAATTCTCTCTCTCTCTCTCTCTCTCTCTCTGCGTTCTCTCTCTGCAACGAACCCAGAACCCAGCTCTCTCTCTTCCCTATGCTCTCTACCCCATGACACCACCACCTGCAAACTATACCACACCCCAGCCTGCAACCAGATCCCCATGAACCCAGAAACCCAGACCCGATTTCTTCCCCCCAACCTAGATTTCTTCCCCCACCCAGATTTATTCTCTTCCCCCTCCCCCCCTCTCCGATTTCTTCTTCCCCACTCATCCCAGATTTTAAAATGTGGGTTTGAAGTGAAATTTACCTTATTGGGGTTTTTGAGTGGGAAGGAGAGACTGTTGGAGAGGGGGTTAGGGTTTCTTCCATTGCAAATTACAGAGAGTGAGGGTGCCAGAGGCATTGCCAGTGTTTGCGCCAGTTTTGTCAACACTGCGTGACTAGTAAGAGTGATGAGTTTGTGTGTGGATGAAGACGATGGGGTCGAGCTCTGGCTTATCCTTTCTAATGCATATAGCTATTTCTTATAAAAGCCCAACTTCGATGTTTATTTTTTGGGTCAGATCCCAACTTTCACTCAAAGCCCAAAATATCATTTGTAGCTCCAAAAACAACTCTTTCTTTTTTCTTTTTTTTTTTCTTCTTTCACAATGCTCGTTTTTAGAATTCAAAATACTGCATATGTGATTATTAATTTCAAGCTATGTGGAAGATAAGGCAGACTCTTGTCACCTTGTCTTTGATTGTTCCATGTTCAACTGTCTTCACAACAGGCTGGGGTGTGGTATAGTTTGCAGGTGGTGGCGTCATGGGGTAGAGAGCAGAGAGAAGAGAGAGAGCTGGGTTCTGGGTTCTGGGTTCTAGGTTCGTTGCACAGAGACAGAGAGAGAGAGAGAGAGAGAGAGAGAGAGAGAATTTTTGAGAATTTTTGAGAATTTTTAATTTTTAAATATTTTATTCATATTTTAATCAATTTAAAATTAAAAATTTTGAAAAATGTGGGACCCACAATGCCACGTAGGCAACTAACAGAGAGATCTGACAGAAACCCTAACGGCGGACCACATTGTAACCAATTTAAAAGACCGGGGTATGTGATTGTTAAAATTGAAAAGATAGGGACTAACATGTCTTAAGGGTGTAACCACAGGGTACTAAACTGTAATTAACCCAAAGCTCAATGCTCTAGTATATGTGAAGTATAATACGGCGCTAAGAGAGGGAAGTATTAGAAGGAGGTCAAAGATTGATCCAATATTGGTGAATGAAATTGAGTCTGATGATGAATGGATAGCTGAGGTTTAAGAACCAATTCTACCAACTGATCTTACTGGGCTTAGTTCTCAAGAATTATATGATGTTGATGTAATCAGAAATATGCCCACTGAACCTTATGAAACTGATCTACATGCTCGAGTGCCTATTTCTGTGGAGCCTATTGTTGATCCTAGGACTCAAGAGCGAGGGAATATTCATGTTAGGACTCAAAAGCCTACTGTCCATTATTCTAGAATTCAAGATCCTATTATTGATGATGATCCTATTCTTGACGATGATGTTCTTCTTTCCTCGTTAGCTTCAAAAAAGAGAAAAGATGGTGAAGCCTCAAGTAAGTATGGAAAGTAAATCATGGAGTGTTTAATTCATTATAACTAAATTTTATAATTTTAATTCATTGTTCATATGTACAGGTAAGAGGAAAGTCAAAAGCAAGTCCATAAGAGTGATGCTTATGGATGAAGATGATGAGATAGATAAAGATCCTTCAACATTTGACAGTGGGAAATATCATTTTCATATTGATACAGTTGATCGATATGATAGTGATGCTAGTTTGAATGATATTAGTGTTGAGGAGTGGGATGAGTGAATTATATTTTTGTTTTGATGTTGAATAAATATTTTATGTTTTGGGATTGATTATTATGCTTTGAATGACAATTAGTACTTATATTTAATTATATTTAAAAGATAGTTATGGTTCAATAAGAATTAGTTGTACAATTTAATTGTATTGTATTATTAATAAATTTTCCTTATTAAAATAAATTATTGTTCAAAAGGCTTACACCTCCCATAGCGCTACTAAAAGAGCATCGCCTTTGAAAACATTATTGATTCAAACACTTGGGGCCATCTCGTATGCAAGTCATCTTCCCAGACGATACCTGTAATATCAGAACAAATTTTCACACATCAGAAGTGAAAACCAAGCTGGCACACCATTGTTAGCATGAACTGATACTCTCACAGCTACTTTACAACCTTGGTGGCCAAAACGACGCTCCTTGCTCCTACCCTGACCCTGAGTCTGGGCTCGCTGAACCACTGGATACATTTCTATAGAGTCGAAGAAATTGGTGTCGGACAGGAAAGCTTGGTCGAGGTGGCCAAACAACTCCGGAAACGTGTTTTGCTTGCCGAAAGTCATCGTCCTTGCGACGAATGAATTTATATTTGAGGATGAGAGGGAGGGCCAAAGAATAAGACTCAGGGTCGGTAAGATTGGGGACGAGGTTGAAGAGAGGCACCACCATTGCTTCGCCTGAGAAGCTCCTTGAGTGTGTCAACTGAGTGGAACGGGAAGGAGAAAAATCAAAGTATCTGCTATATCGGTGCAAGTTTGGTGGATTTTTAGGGATTCGACAAGATAAAAACATAACCGAGTTCTTCGAAATATCGTCCAATGAAAAAAAATAAAAATAAAAATAAAAAACCACCTAGGCGGGCTGGCGAGCTTGGCGGGTTGGGTCCTATTTTTTATTTTTATTTTTTATTTCCTGACTTTAAGTAAAACCTTGTCTTGGAGGGATATGGAGAGGAGGAGGAAGAGTTATTAGATTTAGAGGCCTAGTGTTTCATTTCAAGTATTTTTCTTTGTAGTAACTTTTTCCCATGTTTTATATCAATTATTGTTTTTTATAATTTATATATCGTTTTATTTTGCATGATTTTGGTATAAATTTATAATTTATAATACAAAATAATTATTTTTTTAAAAAAAGGCCTAGGCCAAATTGCTCTTCTAGGCGCTAAGTTCCTCCTTACCGCCTAGCGATTTTTTGAACATTGCTATCTACACCTATAAAATTCTTCATTCCACCATATAATTGATACTAAATATTTATTTACTAAAAACACCCGCAAATCAAATTATTTTTACATTGACAACTATTTCCTACTGATAATTGAAACAAATATTTATTTACTAGCATTACCATTTCCCCTTATCTTTTGATCAAATAAACAACCTTTATTACTTCTTTAGAAACAATCAAAATAACATTCAAGAAACAACAAGAACAACTGGAGAAAGGAGGTGCACCTAGGGTGACCTCATAAAACCTTGCCTTGAAAACTCCCAGTTGAGGAAAATTCGGTCAAGGAAAAAGAGTACCACACACCTCCCTTAAAAACACTAAGCATTTTCTCTATTCGCCACTAGCTTCAACCAGCCCAAAACAATTGCCGCCGTTCACGTAAGCCGAAGTGAGCCAAAAGGTGCGCCCCTTCATTCCCTTTGTGAGGTTGATAAAACACTTCATGCACTTGCAAATGCACCAATAGATTCCTCACATCTTCAACCATATTGCCTAAATTGCTCCAACATTCGCCAGATCAAGTAACTAACAAGTGACACTGCCTCTTGAGAATCAAAAGCCAAAAGAAAATTTTGGTAACCTCTCCACAAAGCCATTAACAAACCTTTCCGCATCGCAGCAAGTTCGGCTCCCAGAACATCAAGTCCAACATGTCCATCACATGCAAAATTGCAATAAAACTCACCATATGTTCCATTTCCCCTTATTCATATCTTATTAAACTATTTTCTACTAATTTTGGCCAAGAAAAACTATTTTCCATTAATACACTCTTTTAACTTGCTTTCTTTTCCATTTCCCAAAATTAAAAGTGGATTTAGAACGTTTGTAATAACAAAATAAGGGATAAGAGGGCAACTAATTATTGTTTGGTTTACAATTTAATTTTAGAAAATCCATCAAATCATTTTGGTAACATTGAATTAGATCTTCAAACATCTATAATTTTGAAGATCATAATTCTGATTTAGAAACCTAAAACATTTTCATTTTACTTTTCATTTTCAGAGTATGACATCCGTTTATTTGAAGGGCTAAAATAAAATAATTGATATCATATATCTTTATATTTTCAATTTGATTTCTGAACCGATAAATGATCTTGCATAACATAACATGTAGAAATATTCAGAAAACTTATGGCACATTCTACTATGTGTCTTTAAGTGGGTCCTTTCAAATTGCAGCATCCCAACATGTCCATGTGTATGTATTAAATGTTGCAATACAAAAATTTCTAGCTTTTAGGATATAGTTAATCTAGAGATAACAGTTGAGTAGTATTGTGATGAGCATATGAATCAGAGAAAGAGCTCATGTAATTTTTTTTTTCTTATGTGAAAAATACAAGCAATTCTGGTTTCATAACATGGCTGAAAAACAGGGAAAGCACATTTACACAAGCTAATATGAATGCTATTTGAGTGGCAATTTGTCTATTTTAAATGAAACAAACAATTATGCAACTCAATAACTAGACACCAGCAGTAAGAGGAAAAAAAATGGAAATTACATATACATGATCTGTTCATGATGTGAGTCAAGCTTCATATAAGGTGCAATGCAAATGGCGGCATTTTACGAACAACAACCGCTGCTAGGAGGTGCTTGATTTTCCTGTTTCTGCTTCAAAATATTTCTCTTTGCTGCAGTTGAACCTTCTTCCAGGAGACTAGGAACTTCCATTATCTGTTACAGAATTCCAGTTGGTTAGAATTGAGAACATAACAAAATGTCGCATATGTTCAGATAATCTCAATCATCTCCCTAATCCCACGACGACTGCTTTGATTAGCAATACGACAACAAAAATTATATCAACAAGTTTGTAGGGATGAAGTTGCATAAGAACTTTAGTTCAGAAATTATCAAAACTTTCTCAAAAGTACCTTTAATGCTAGCTCTTCGAAGCATTGCTCCACATTTTCTCTAGTTTTAGCGCTACATTCAAGAAACAAACATCCAAGATCTTTTGCAAGAGCAAGCCCCTCTTCTCTACTTACAGCCCTTTCAGATTCCTGAAATCACATAGAATTTCTTTCTTAACTTATTCAATAGATTGCGATAATAAAAAAAGGCCTTGTCTTTTCCACAAGTAAATATAGGCTTTAATATAAACGACTAAAAAGAAAATTACACAAATGAAACCTAAAAGAAGTTTGTGACTTGGCAGAACATGCTTCAAGGGACCGCAAAAGTGTTTGGCTACATGGAACATTTACTAATGATCCTAGGCTTCATGATGATTTACTACTAGAAAAATCACACTCATGTTGACCAGTATTATGCAGACTAAGATACTGGTTGAGGGTGTGTGTGAGCACTGAATACATGTCCAACTGGCAATGTTTTGATTTCTCAAATATGTTAGAGAGCCTGCAGATACCCCTTAATCATGCCATGTCATCATCATATGAGTCTGGCAGGGATGAAGGGCACAGGTAAGACGGAGGTCAACAAAAGTTGCACTAAATTTCATCACTTCAAATCAAGAGTCTTGGTTTTCTATGTGTGAGCACTCAAAACACACAAACACAATGAAGAACATGGAGCTAAGTAATAAGACCTTTGCTGGCTGTCGACTTACTGCTAGAGACAAATTCCCTATAACTTTTTATCTAAGTTGAGGACCATCGATCAGTTCTTGTTCATTTTCTGGGATCAAGTTTTTAAGCAGTAGACATAGAGGATTTGAAACTTACTCTGTCGACTTTATTTCCAACAAGCATCTTGGCACAGTCCTTATTAGTTGAGTAGAGCTCCACTTCTTTAGCCCATACATCTGATAAGTTGGTAAAGGTGTCTCTCCGAGTCACATCATACACTAAAATAAAGCAGAGGAGTTGTTCATTAGCTGAAATCAGGCAACTATTGTATTGTATGCAAGGCATTATGAGAACTTTGAATTAGGTGTAGTTTTATATGCCTATGAGGGGAAACTTCTTCAATGCCATTCTCCCATTTCTTATAGCTCAATAAGAAATACACATGAAAATAAAAATGTAGGAAGTTGATGAAAAGGAGTTAAATTTTTTGAAATATTTGCATAGGATGATGCCGGATTAAAATATTTGCATAAGATTGTCACTAGAAAGATCATAGATACAAAATATTCTTCATTTCAGCAGTCAACCAGACATGGGAACCGTATTCTCCCTTTTTTCTCTTTAACACGAAAAATCGGCGCTACTAAGAGAAGCGAGAGTACATGCCACATTTTCCTCAACAAAATTTGAGAAAAATATATATTTCCAGACAAAAATTGATGAGGCTTTTGGTAGCATACCAAGAATGATTCCTTGTGCATTTCTGTAGTAAGAGCTTGTTAATGTTCTGAACCTCTCCTGTCCAGCTGCAATAGACAATATGATTTGTCATGTTATCAATTCATCGTTAAACTTCCAACATATAGAATGATGAGAAAAAATCGGTTTTTGCTCTGAAATCCGTAAACATTTTATTTATCGATAAAAATTGCATCATAGAATGAAAGAATGGACAGTTCAATTTACTACCTGTGTCCCAAATTGTCATCTTAATTCTCTTCTCAGCTACAGTGAGCAGCTTGATTTTAAAATCCACACCTACAAAACAAAGGAACAAAACCCATCAAATGCCTCACACAATGATTGTCTCAATCAATCCAAAGTATGCACAAGATTCATATGAAGAAACCATTCAAGCAACTAACTTTTTATGATCCACCCTCTGGAAGTTCACAAAAAATTTAAATCTTTTTTCTAATCACAAACATGTTGACTTTATGAACTCACTAATTGAGTTCAATTTACATCAATGAAACAGGAAATGTAAGGAGACATAAGCCTATGATTGAGAATAATGTACAAGAAATCCAGCTATTCAACTATCAAAATCCAATCATAGATCCAACAGTAACAAACTCCCTTTGGGTTCTTACCAACACTTCATCCGTTCATCTCATTGTCCGTAACAAAAGAATCAGCAAAATGTTTTATTGCCCAACATTTTTATCAGCTCCCAAATGAAATGCTAAGCTAAAAGTAACATAAAGAAAAATGGGGTAGAAAGATTATTACCAATGGTGGGGGCAAGATCGTCAACAGAGTTGGAGATGAAGCTAACAAGAAGACTACTTTTGCCGACGGCAGAGTCTCCGATCAACAAGATCTTGAATGACAGATCGTAGTTACTGCTCTGCCCTGAAGAACCCATTTGATCACTCTTCTGTGTTTCTATCTCTCTCTCTCTCTCTCTCTCTCTCTCTGGTGATGGTGATGGTGATGATTAGAGCTTTTTTTTCTAAAGTATCAATGTCTGTTCTATCTGAAAAGTACAGTGAAAGAAATGCATATAAGGCTGGAAGAGAAGAGAGAGAGAGAGAGAGAGAGAGGAGAGAGAGAAAAAAAAGAGGAAAGGTGGTAATGGTGCCAATGGGCATCTTTCTATCTTTTTGGAGGTGAAAGAGAGAAAAAGCTAAAGAAAACGGCTATACCTGAACCACATCAGCTGACAACTACCAACGTATTTATTCTTTTCTTCTTTTGTTTATGTTAATTCCTGATTTCCATGTTAACGGGGTTTTGTCCCAGACTCTTCCTTTCTGTTCAGTTCTGTTATGTTATGTTATGTCCCACATTCGCTTCTTTTGATGCACACCACTGAAAAGCATCATCAACGAAGGATGCGGAAGAGTCGTGGGCATCAGACGGGCATCTTATTGATGATATTAAGAGGAATCTACAACATTTTGAAGAAGTTACTATCTCTTTTAGTCGAAGAGGGTGTAACCAAGTAGCTCATTTTCTAGCAAGGCATGTTCTTAATTGTGATACTTTGGTAACCTGGATTGAAGAGGTTCCCTTCTGGCTGGAATCAGTTGTAAATGATGATATTGTTGTATCCTCTTAATTTTATCAATGAGTTCTTCTTTCCCAAAAAATAAATAAATAAAAATAAATAAATAAATAAATCAAATGGGACTTACAAATTAAAATATTGATAGAGATGTGAATTCAATGATGCATGGTATATATTGACTTCTCAGAATCTCGGGGCTTTCAGCTTAAGTGGTAGAATACTTTACTTCACATGTTCAATATAAATTTGACTCGCCTCACCTCCCAATTCGTGGTGATCTACCATGGCAATGATTATATGTTTGATATTTGATTTTGAGTACATGAAATTTAACAATGGTGAAAAAATATTACATGAATTTTGCAGGAAGGGATTTGGTGGCATTGGTCCACACAATTAGTTGAAAAGGAGAGGAGGGAAAAATTGCATGCAATGTCCAATGTGAGGCGTTGGCGGGAAATAGATCAAAGAGATGGTGAAGGGGCACTATCATTGTATGCCAAACAAGAAGTGATCCCACCATTTAATTTAGTGAGCTACGAAACAAAACAAAAGCTCCATTTCCATTATCTTCACTTTCACCTGCCAATATGTCACCGACATTCCTTCCAAAATCACATTTTTACTTTTTTTTATTTTTAGGTTCTAATTAGACTCGGCATGTCTCCAAAATTAAAATTCATGCTTTTATTTCAGTTTTCAATTTTGTTTTTTTCTGTTTCTATTTTACATTTTCTTTTAGAGAGGATTGTATAGCTTAACTAATTAAAATTATGTATTTTTGCTGAGTCGTGTTATCGATTCTTCCCCGTATTACTTATATCAATAAAAACATAAAAACATTCTCGACTTCCGTCTAGATTTAAGAGTTAAAAATATGTTCGAGTGTCGTACAAGTTGGTAGCATAAAACTTTGCATCATTATTTGGGCTTCACAATTTTAGTGTAGTATAACTCCTGTTATTGTGACATTAATCATCATCATAAGAGCTAAGCTAATGATGTTTAGCTCCCCACCACTACGAAATGCATGCTAACTCAGATGAAACCTTCTTTATGCATTGGCTTCATCCCAAAAAACAAATAAGAAAAAATAACCTTCTTTCTTCATGCCTACTCAAAAGATTTGTACCCCACTTTGAAGTGTCTCATAACTGAGAATGAAACTAATTAAAGTTGCATGTTCCAGAATAAATTTTAGACCTTAAACAAAAGTGTGCTTTGGTTTATATATATAAAGATAAACTTAAGAAGGATGAGCAATTACGGAAGAAGAAGAAGATGTTTAGAAGGAGGCAGAGGCTTTAGCCCTTTTAATGTTTGGTGTGTCTCTTTCTTTACAATACAAGAAACTGAGAGGAAGCACTGACCCCTGGCAACCAATATCGCCATCACATTCACAAACCAAACATTTAGACAACCCACCTGAAAAGTAGTATTTACTATTATTACATTATCAATAAGTATTACACAGAGTTACAATATACAAATGCATATAGTCAGTATGAAAAAGATGGTAGAAGTATGAAAGTACATGCAAGAGAAAGATGCCCATCTAACTCAGGTACACAAATTGGATGGATTAGTAACACGACATGTCAACATATCATCTAATGTCACAGATATAAAAGTTTCTAATGAAGCATTACACGGACTATAAACTTCCAACTTGCATAAAAACTCCCAATAGTCGAACTTATCTAATCCGTATGTATCACAAGTATTACTTGTATTAGGAATTAGTCCTAGAAACTTGTATCCCTTCTCTTATCAATGGGAGAAGTGGGGTTTGAATTTGACATATTTTCCAACATCAAGAAAACCACTACGACGGATTAGAGGGTTTATTTATTTATTTCTGAATAACATACATATCATTTTGGGCCCCAAATTGACCAAGTGGTTCGGCCGAATTTCTTTTGTTGGGCCTCCCTTCAGCCCAATTGTTGACTACAATAAGGCTTATAGGCCAATAATATCTCAATACCCGGATTTTCTTTACAAAAGAAATTAGGAAAAGGGTAAGCGAGTCGGGACCAACTGTGCTGAGTAGGGAGGGAGGTTCTTCCAAATCGTAAACCCGTCGAGACCGAGAGGAACAGTCAGTGGCTGAGAACAGAGAAGATGGACAGAGAATGGGGTTCAAAGCCCGGCAGCGGAGGCGCCGCCTCCGCCCAAAACGAAGCCATCGACCGCCGAGAGCGCCTCCGGAGACTCGCCCTCGAGACCATCGATCTCGCCAAGGATCCCTACTTCATGCGCAACCACCTTGGAAGGTATGACCCTTTTTCTCTCTTTGTCCAAATTTCACTGCTTTTCATCTTATTGTTGATTATTCTTGGTGGGTTTTTGTAGCTATGAGTGTAAGCTTTGCTTGACGCTGCACAACAACGAAGGCAACTACTTGGCCCATACACAGGGGAAGCGCCATCAGACTAACTTGGCAAAGAGAGCTGCTCGTGAAGCCAAGGAGGCTCCTGCTCAACCCCAGCCTCACAAGCGCAAAGTCAACTTGCGAAAGACAGGTGTGTATTTCATATTTGTTTCACACGAATTTTGTCGAACAGTTAGTGGGCATATCACATTGTTTGGTGGGGGTTTTTTTTTATGTGTAAAATACTAGAGAAACTTAATTTATTTTGGGGTTTGAAGATTTTAACATTAGAAAATACATCCACATGGGGCGTGCATTTGAGTAGAATGTAATTTTGATATGTAAATTGGGTCTTGAGCTAACTCATACGGGTATTACATGTATGCTTGCAGTTAAAATTGGTAGGCCGGGGTATCGAGTGACAAAGCAGTTTGATGGAGAATTAAAGCAGAGGTCTCTTCTCTTCCAGGTTTGTGGGTTTGTGTATTTTTGTATGCAGTGATATGTGTTTTACTGAAAGAATAAGATCTCATTCAAATATATGTAGGGTACACTAAGAAATGGCCTAGCTTATATTGTGTTATTGTTTGTATGCTCTGCAGATTGAATATCCTGAGATTGAAGATAGTACAAAGCCTAGGCACCGTTTTATGTCATCTTATGAACAGGTAGGGTTCTATATATTAAATCTGAGTTTGCTTCCTGAAAACTTTGCTTTTTGCCTGCAATTCATGTCTATCTGTTTTTTCCCTTTTTCTTAATTGAAGCGGTGAATTGTTCTTTTTTCTTTTTAAACGTTAATTTTTCATGAACACAGAGAGTTCAATCTGTCGACAAAAGATACCAGTATCTCCTCTTCGCAGCCGAACCATACGAGATAATTGCTTTCAAGGTATATCTCATTTTCTATGCATCTGGTATTTATCTTTTTTACTGTTAGATTCAGAACATTTACCGGGCCTGCATGTTCATATCTGTTTCAGGTTCCTAGCACAGAGATTGACAAAACCCCTGAAAAGTTTTTCTCACATTGGGATCCAGACTCAAAAATGTTCACAGTTAGTCTTCTAATTTAAATGGATTTCTTTTATGCTTTTTATTGGTTGATTTTTTTGTCTTTTCTAATTTTGCCATGTGGAATGTATCAATATGCAGTTGCAGCTATATTTCAAAACTAAGCCACCAGAGACAAACAAACCGCAACCTCCCCCTGCAGCCAATGGCCCAGGTGCTCCTGGTGTTCCATCAAGGCCTTTGCCCCCACCACCCCAAGCTCCACCTCCACCTCCTCCACAAGGACTGCCACCTGGTGCACCAATGGGAAATCCTCCTAGACCCCCTCCGCCGATTCATGGATCTTTACTGCCTCCTCCTCCGATGGGAAATGGCCCTAGGCCTATGCCTCCTGGTGGAGCTCCTCCTGCCCCTCCTCCACCCCCAGTTGGTAATAACACAATGGCAAATTTCACTCCTGGCACTCAGATGGGAAGACCTCCATCAATGCCACCTCCACAAGGCTTTCCAGGACAACAAATGCAGGGTCAGGGTCTTCGTCCACCCCCACCACCTCCTAACATGGGCTAAGGGAATCCGGAGCCTCCAGCATCTCAGTAAACATACTTGCAGTATTAATGTGAAGAATGATGTGAGCTAAAATGACGCCGTATTTATTGAAGCTGTACCTGATTAATGAGCCTTAAATACATCGTTAGTCGTTAGATATATGTTCCTAGATTATTTCTTCAAAAGTCATATTTTCCATTGTTTTACCCTTATAAACAGTGATATTAGGGTTGACATTGAGAAGATGTGTCGCTGCTTGAATTTTTGCAGCTTGTCTTATGGCAATTTCTTGTTTAATGTAATTTCTTTTTGTGCATTTTGAGCTGAGTGGTATTGAGTGCATCTGTGCTTGACCCTAAAAATGGTATTAAGTGCATCTATGGTGCCTCGCCCATAATGCCTTTGGATGTGTTGAATTGCTTGTGCCAACTTGTGATAGGTTATCAATTCCATCCTTTTAATTGATGTATTTACAAATAAGTCTGAAAATCCCTGGTTGTGATACCAATTTCAAAATATGCGATTGGCTACAGATCAGTAGCTTCTGAATACTACACCTGCTTAAATTTATATAGAATTGATATTGGAAAAAAGGGAATTGAATACACAACCTTGACCTCAAGTAAAAGGGTAAAATGTTGGATCGTTTGCTCGAGATCCTT